TGCCCCAAGCATCTATGCTTCTCTTCACATGCAGAAGATCCCTTCACTCTTGTTCATGCACAAAAACCTAATTTAGCCTGTTTTGGCAGAGTTGGGCCGCCATGTTTTTGGGTGCCGTTGTACTCCTTAAAGACTATTCACATTGACGTTGAAAGTTTTTTTTAAGTCAGGACATTAAATACATTTCACAACAATATTTTTGTTGTTACGCACAATAAAATCAAAGTAATGTCTGTATTACCACTTGAAGAAGAAGCAACCGCTCTCGACATTTCAGCTCGCGTTCTTCAGCAATTGAAAAGCACATGCTTATTAACTGACGTTGCAGTAAAAAACGTGATTGAAAGGTATTTTTTTCTTATAAAAACTTTAATTGTAACGCAAGTAACGCAATTACATTGATTTTAGAAACTGTAATCAAATTACACACATTTAAAAAGTAATTAATTACATTACTGCATTCCTCAAAAATGTAATTAGAATACAGTATTGTGTTACTGTGAATCGTGTTACACCCAACTCTGGTAATTAGCATGATTACCAAAGTGAAATAAGATTTTGGAGTTTGGCTCACATCCCATTTATTTATTTATTTTCTTTATGAAATAGGTGGTTTCATGAAGGCAAACACAACCAATCCCTGGTGATCATTATCATTCTAAAGCTATCAGTGGCCATACATGGGATGTATTGGCTTAACTTTTGAGCAGTGGAAGCAAACAGAGACGTGTTGTTTGATAAGACAGTTAAAATAATTTTTAAAAAATTACATAGAAAGTAAGAATAACGAAAACAACATGGACTTAAACATTGCGAATACTACATCCACACCACTAGGTGTCAGTATAAATCAATCAGTGTAATAAGTCAACTGCCTTATTAGAGGTCACAACAATTACTGCAAGCGCTGGCAACTGAACTGCATCAATTGCAACAACAAATGTCTAAGTAAAAACCTTGTGAGTTACATCCCACACTACATCAAACTGTCACGGTGTTCAATAGAAACCAAATCTTCTAATAGAGCTCCTTCGATTGGCAAAATCAAACAAATCAATTGCTTTGATTTTAGGTCAAATCAATAGTATTGTCTATCCTCACAAAGCGTAAGACTCAGCACATGGATGCTCACTGTTCAACACAACCCCAGTCAGCTGGGTCTTCTGCTGAGTACACACAACAACAGCCACAGATCTCATCCTGTCAGAGCTTCCGGTGTCGGTACTTTGTCAATTCGCACAGGCCCGCTCCTCTCCTCTGTTCAGATACGAGTCGTCTCTCCCCGCCTCACTTCCTGCAGGATTGAGGATGCTGCCGGTGGGTAGGCCTGCCGTCGGCCCCCACGCTCCAGGGCCATAAGTAACTGTAAACGGTGCTGAGCAGGTGGGTGGAGGAATGAGAATGGAGCTGCATTATTTATGGGTTTCTTGCTTGTTTTGAATTTCATCCCGATAGCACTGTTTCAGCACTTTTCCAGAGCCTGCCACACGAGAGTGAGTGAACGAATGCCGGCACATTTGCTGGCGCGAATACAAATATCTGACCTTCTTTCAGCTGATTTACAAGCCCATTTTCTGCTGAGGGAGTGCCAATATTACCCATTACACGAGACGGGAAAGAGAAGAAAACAGTGCGGTGAGCAGACATGACAACAAACTGCAGTGATTTACAAAATAGCAGTTGTTGTTGGAGATTAAGAGCATTTACCAGTTCAAATAGACAATACATCGCAAGAACTCTCGAGATACTAATTGTCCCATCGCTCAGACTGAAACTTTGGTTCCTGCTTAAACTCTCCGGTTCTATAGAAAACTCTATCAGAATCTTGTTTCATCCCAATCTGCACTCAGATACACACAATCTGAAGAGAACAGACATGGAATGCATCTCCCTGAACTCATCTGTTAATCTGATATCAAACTCTGAGGACTGTGGAACAACAGAAGTTGCCAGAAGTCCACATCTGCCTTTCATCAGTATCAATAGTCTAAGAGGGCTCAGAGGAGGTGCTGCTGGAAGAAACCTAACGCTACACACACACATACAGAGAGAGAGAGAGAGAGAGAGAGAGAGAGAGAGAAAGAGAGAACGAGAGAGAGAGAGTGAGACTACAAGCAGGTGACTCAAATTAAGAGCTGGATAAACAACTCAAAAGTGAAACTCAGAACCAATCGGCTAGAAAACCAAAGATGTGCATATGGAAAATGAAATAAGCTCAGAGCCACTGAACAGCAGAAAACGAACATGACAAATGGGCTTAGCAGGGATCCGATGAAACTTTAAAGAGATCCCATTCACTCTGTACGCCACGGAAAACAACCAGCGCCAGGAGAGAATTGCTCTCATATTCCCTCGGAAATTCGGCACGACACGCGGCAGTCTCGCTTCCAAAGCAGCTACCCGTGGAGTTTGCCGCGCTAGCTATAGTTTCTCTGGAGCGCGTTGAGGATCTGCAGGTGGTCAGGTGTGTCTGCACAGCTGCACAAGCAGGTAATCAATCGTAGCGTTCCCTCCAGGCACAGGTGGCCAAGGCTTTGCCAACAGCACGCTCTTTTGCACTTGAACCAGTAGGCACACCAAGAAAATATGGAAAAGCATCCGGACACAGCGTTTCTCAGGCTCAAACATGTAGATTTACACGCATCTGCATGTTACCACCACACACTGCTCGACAGCCATAACCGCCGCCACGGGAGAGGAGCTGGAAAATATCAGCAGCTGACTGGCGGAAGTCAATAAGGTTTCTCATTTTCACTGAGCGAGCATCTGCTGATGAATAGCTGATATTTAATAGCAGTGATGAGACACTTAGAGCTCCGGCGCTCTGTCTTATTACATTCTGTCCGCACTAGAACAAGAGGCTTGAGCCCCCCTATCGTCTAGCGTGTGCTTCATCAGCTGCTGAGTCCAGCTCACTTCAGTAGGGCTTCCTGTCCCAGCAGTAGATGGCTAAGCCATTCTCCCGCTCTCAAAAGCATTCATGCGTCTGATTCAGACCGTCTGAAGCTTAACAGGACTAATTAAGGCACTGTTGTTGTGTTGGAGAGATAGCTGGGCTTTTAGAAAGACCCCCGTGGAGAGCTCTCTCTTGGATCAGGTGCAGATCCCAACACAGATCTGTTGAGTCTGGCAGTACTTCCATCGACATTTGGTTGAAAAATTAAGCAAATGCTAGTCCAAAAGGACTTTACTTGTGGAAAAATATGTCAAAAGAGACAAAAAAGTTTAAGAACAAAGCTTAAATTAAACAATGTTCCCCAAAATGACACTTGTGTCTATGTTTATACCCCTTCGGGATTTTCAGTGGAACACAAAGGGACACATTTGGAGGTCTTCACTCACTTTGTTTGTCTGAAGTAAAGATGGAACAGAAGTGAATGGTGACTGAAACTGTCAATCCTAAACCATTTGCCTCCTTTTGTTTTCCACAGAAGGCAGTTTCAAACAAAATTAGCGTGAGTAAATGATGACACAATATTTATATTTGAGAGAACAAATCCCGCTTTAAGTAGTTTATCTCATGTGTTCTGACCGGGAAATGACTCAATTTATATTATTCATGTTATTTCCATAACTACTCAGCATAAGTACTTTAAAAAATATTTAGTAAGGCTGTTTAACTATTTCGTATTGTCATATTTATAGCTATTGGGTGTAGTTCCTTTTGAGATATATAATAAAGACTCTAGAAAAATGAGTTTAAAATAATGATAAACATAAAACTAGTCATACTGTATTGTCACAAAGACGTGTGGACTACCACCACAATAAAAAGGCCCTTTAAAAGTCCCCTTGAAACTGTTTAGCATTAGTTTTCTCTTAAAATTGAAACAAGAAATCACAGGGAATCCGTGAAAAATAACTTATTTTACGCAAGTTTAAAATCGTTTATAAAAGCCACACGTAGCTTCCCACCAGAACTGCGAACATGTGCGACCGTTACTTAGTTTGTTTCTGTTAATAGATGCCTCAGTGTATATTTGGTAAAATTGAGTTATCAGTCAGACAGTGTATAATAAATCCCGCTAGTAAAACTCTCAGCATGAAAATCTGTCTTCCAAAATGAGAATCATCAGCAATTAGTGCAAAAATGTCAAACCAGGTCATTAACATATGAAAATATCAACTTATAGCTTATGTTTAAACGTATGTACCATTTATATAGCCCATTGGCCAAAATGTTTGTTACATTCTGTATCTGCGCTGATCCTCTTCATGATAGTCACTGGAGGTGCTTCATGTGCCCGCGGCTGCACAAATACAGTCGTCAAGACTAAGTAACCATGACACGAGAACACCATGACTGGAAAAACACCGTAAATGATGGGTTACGACTTTGTAGATTAGGAGGTAAATATATATATATATATATATATATATATATATATATCATACGTTTGAGGGTTTAGGTGACAAGTTGCTTAATTTTGGACCCCAATCGTATTGCGGAGGGAATCTACTGCGTAATTTACTCAGGAGTTCATATGTGCGTTTTTGAAGAAAAAAATATATTCTTAAAAACAAAACAAGAAATCATATTACATAGTTATTTAAAATGCAAAACTGGTGTTTGGAAAGCATGTAGTGGAGTACAGTATGAAGCGTAGCGTTTGTGGGTGCTCATGCCGAGCGCGCGTCACCTCCAGCGGGCAGGAGACTGCCAGCGCACGAGATGAGCTTTCACCAAAATCACACTAATACAAACTGGAACTAGAATACGAGAGGCTCGTCCTTTCAGTTTGCTAGTTTACTTCTTCCTCATTTTCCAGCCAGGGTTAATAATAAATGTTAAATGTTGCACATTTTGGCGTTTTTTGTCTGACAGTTAGGTACGAAAATATACCTAGTCAAAATTCAATATAAATGCCTATAATTATGAATAATTTAATACACAGCTTATATGCCTACTACATTGTCACCTAAAAACATAAGCGTGAATTCGAACCTGCACTGACAAATACAACTAAAAAAAGAGAAAATATAAAAAAACAAGAACTTACCCTCCTGTCCATAAACTAATGCCGCACACAAGACAAGTAAAGATCCACAGAGCTTTGCGAATAAATCCATCTTTCCTGGGTGAATGTTCACCCAGCGCGCGTAGAGGAAAAAGCTGAAGTTCTTGTGATGTTCTTTGTAAATGTTCTTCTCCACTGATGTTGTATCCACTTGTGTCTTTGAGTCCGATTACAATATCTTCCGCTTGATTTCTCGGTGTGCTTCAAAATGCTGGATGCGTAAATTCAACCCAGGCTGTTTAACATCTCCGGTTGTATCCTAAACAAAAGCAACGCAAACAAAACAAAAAAGGCTAAACCGCTTTCTCTTTAAAAGCCAGAGTTCAGAGCGAAAACATATTTTGGCTTGATTTCCTCGAGCTACAGCGGCGCGCGAGTGAACGAGGAGTGAGGTGAGCCGCGCGTTCTCTCGCCTTCCAACCCAAGTGACATGGAGCGTTTTCCCGATCTTGTCGCCTCAGAATCCACCACCAAGCGCTCTATATCTCGCATATGAGAAACACTATCAGAGAAAGGCAGCTCGGATGTGGTCTTCCGTACAGTGGGTCCGTGACTGAAGTCTTGGGATAGAGATCCTCCGCGCGCTGTCTCTTTGGCACTGCGCGTCTCTGCGTTTGAGCGCTGAGTCTTGCGCGGCAGCAGCATGTGGATGTAATAGCATTAAGGACGGGCGCAGCTATCGCATTACAGTCAGCACCTCGGCCCGCCTCTCCAGTCTCTGATTAAAGACCAGCCACTAGTCCCGCAGTTACGCTATAAAAAGGCGAGCGAGGGAAACACAAGCGTCCACAGCCACACGGGCTCGTCAAACGCTCGTGGCTGTGCGAAACCACAAGGTGGTTTGGAGAGTTTCTTCAAGGTGGTAGACGATGTAGGCTACACGCTGACAAATAATGAGGTTTAAAAAGTCCTTTTAAAGTCTCATTTAAATATTTAGCGTCTCATTAATGAACAAAGCGACTTTTTTAGATCAAAGTTTTCAAATATTCACAGCACTGTGAAAAAAATTAAGAAGTATTAATTAACAATTATTTAGATTTGGCAGCTTATTAATTGCCTAACTTTTCCAAAACCCTTTAAAATATTAAGAAACTTTTCAGAAAACAAACAAAAAAGGTTTTGTAGAATAAGTTTAGGTCAAAACTACTTTTTGAAAAAAAAAGAAATATTAATAAACAATTAATTAGATTTGGCAACTTATCAATTGCCCAACTATACCAAAACTCTTTAAAAATCTTAAGAAACTTTTCAGAAAACAAAAACAAAGTATTGCAGGATAAACATGTCAAAACTGCTTGACGACATTATAAAATTAAATTATAACCTAATGATATAATTTTATGTTTCACCAACATATTGGTGATATTCTTTGATTGCATTGATTGAAATAAAAAGTATTAAGTTGAGCCTCTAAAAAAATTTAAAACAAATGATCCCTGTGCATCTAAGTAAAATAAAATACTTTTTTACACTTTTAACTACGTAACTTAAGTAATTATGTAATCATATGAATGAAAAAAAAAAGTTTTTATAAGGTTAATCTGTTTGAAAAGAACAAAAACACTGATCTTGACAGCAAATGAAATGTTTCAGAAAACAAAAAAAAAACTATTGTAGAATAAACCGGAAAAAATGCTATATCACTGAACCACATTGGGGGAAACAACAGACTGAAACTGTTGTAATTATGATAATTATGCATAAGCTGCCATTAAGTTTGACCATGTGATCCATGATTGATGTTAGAGAGCTAGCAGTTTTGATGCCCTCCAGTTGACTTTAAGAAGAAAAGTGAAAAAGCTGAGTTGAGCCATACATTAGGTAAGGCGTTGTGCATGGTAATGTGTGGCTGAGGTTGAATTAATGCGAATGTTTCTGACAGAAAGCCAAGGAAAGATCAACAAGGGTACGGGGGTCAAACTCTGTGTAAAAATACAAGAAACCGAACAATCCAATGGTAAACGTTCCATGACGACAGATGTTTGACAGAAACTAAAAACATCTGTTTTTCTTTCCTTCTGACTGATGCACTGTTGAAAATAAACACACACACAGTTAACAAGAACAAAAAAGGAGAAGTTTGTGGTAGGATGTGTGGGTCACTGAGAAAAAGGAGAAGAGAAAACAGATCTTGGGGAGAGAAATGTCCCTTTGGCTCATCCAGGATCCTTTAATTTAGACCCCCTGTGCTGAGAAATATAAAAATGAGAAAGTAAATTACAGCGGGAGGTTTGGTTTAGAAAGAAGGGCTAGAATAAACCACACTGTGCACATCAAAGCTAGCGAAGAACCCAAGCTCTCAGATATGTTCTTGTGCACAGATCTTCTCAGATCCACCCAACGCGGGACCAGCGAGGGCCCCAGTCCGCCACTAACTACAGTGGCTTTAATGACACAGCATTACCCTGCAGATCCCAAAATAAAACTTTACCCTTATCAGGCATCCTGCAGACGCTGTGCACAAGCACGGCACTGTGACAGCAGGCAGCTGGGGAAGCACAGGGAAGTTTTTCTTAGCTTTGATGCCTTGTCAGTTTCAGGTCATGTTATATTGAAGTCAGATGATTAGTCATGTGCTGCGCCATGCCTGAGCTGTTAATTCTGGGAATTGAGGAGAAAGAAAAGTGTAGAACGCACGATTGTTTTTTGCAACACTGGACTTCTTGTCATTATCACCAACCTCTCAATGAAAGGTTTTCATAAAAAAAAGCCACCATGTATTCGCTGCGTATTGTTTTCTGAGGCGCACAGTGACTTGTTGGATGGAAATCCTGTTTTATTTTTATTTGCAAAATATTTTTGCAATACTCCAGTTTAATTCACACGTTTGGATGGAAACATGGCTATAGAAGCCCTCAGTGACAGGTCACCATCTCTTATCTCTCTGATAGACTCCATCTCTCAGCTCTTGAGAACACTGGACTATTTGACCTGGGGACTTGGGCCTGTCAACAGCAATGCTTGATAAAGGTTTGCTCTTTTACACAGTCTTGTGGTGTCACCTATCAGGGATGAGGTCAGAGTTTGGGTATAGTGAGGGCTGGTCTTGGATCAGGGCGAAATAACAGCTTCTCTTTGAAGTGTTGACAGGCCTGGCCTGTGCTGTCCACACACACCTCGACCCACAGCAGACCTGTGATCATCCATCTTACTGGCTAATGCCAGGCTGAGCATGAGGAGATCTCTGCACAACAGTGGAGCCTCTGTGCGGGCTGGTGGGGTTATCCCCACACTCAGCCTCACGGGGGAAGTGTTGAGTGTGTGTGTGTGAGCGGGAAAGAGCTCTGAGGTTTTTGACGGCCATACATGGAGGAAAGTCCCCGCTGCGGTCCCAGCAGTGGCTCTACTTCATCTTCTTACGCCATTTGAGCTTAAGTCCTACTTGAGCCAAACTGCAGCCAAAGCTGACACATCTGCTTGTTTACAGCTACCACTGATGCATGTATGTCTGGAACGAATGGTTGTTGAGGAAACGAAAGTACATTAACGGTTCACAGATATATGGAAAATAAATAAATACAAAACTGTCAAGTGGTGTAATCATCAAGTTAAAAATACAACAAATAAATAAATAGCTAAAATAAATAAATAAATAAATAGCTAAAATAAATAAATACTTAAATAAATAAACAAATAAGACAACTTAACAACTTAAGTCATAACTTAAGTCACAACTGCGTGACTAACATTATAGCATTAAATTATAACCTAATGATATAATGTTATGAATTTTACCAACATCTTGGTGATTTTTTGTTTTTTTGTAACGATTGAAATAACAAGTATTAAGTTAAGTAAAGGCTCCAAAAAAATCAAAACAATTGTCTTCCACACTGTAAAAAAAAATCCTGGTTGGCTTAAATTTTTACGATGAATCAAATTAACCTCATGAGTTCATTGAACTTATGTTAAACTGACTTAAAACAACTTGCGTAACTTATACAATTAAGCTAGAACATGATTAACTTAGTTTAATAAGTTACAATGATCTAAAAACATAAGGACTAATTGATCATATAATGCTTTACAGTGAAGTGTATCCAAGTAAAAATAAGTAAAAATACTTTTAACTTTGTAACTTAAGTAATTATAGAATCATATAAATAAATAAATATATAATTTTTTAAAGATTATTCTGCTTGAAAAGAACAAAAACACTGATTTTGATAGCAATATCCACCATTATCAAAATTTGCATTATTTAAAATATAATTGAATAAAAGGAAATACTCAAAAAAGGAGTGCAAGCATCAAATGTTAAAGGAATGTATTTGCCTGTTTGAGTCAGGAAATACCTAGAATGATCCAATCACAAAAGACGTTTTCTTAAGATGACCCTATTTGACCTGTACAAAATGTGATAATATTACACAAGAATATAACAAGAAGATAATCAAGTAAAGCAAATTCCAAAGTTTGCTTTACTTTAAAAAGTTCTAATTGTCTCAAGATAGGCCATAAGGAACTCATCAGGAGTTTCACAGCATGGAACCATAATGGCTAAACGCTGACTCTTCAGCCATGCTAGATACAAATAGCTGTTGTTTGAACTGATTTGTCTATATAAATCTAATATATTTCACAATCACATTGTTAAGGTATAGAGGTAGCTCAGAAAAGACTGTTAAGAGTTAGACTTGCACAATTCCTCTGTCTGGTAAGAGTCAGCAGTCCTGCAGCTTCATTTTGAACGCTTTAAAAGTCTGACGGAGCTTGCTGATAAAGGCTAAAGTATAACCATACAAGAATTAGAGACTGAAATTCAATCCCCTTTAAGACCTTCTTAAGACTCTACATACATATTACTTTTCAACCAGAAACACTGATGAGATTTTAACTTACAGTATATTTACCAAATAATAATGCAAGAAACTACTCCAAAACTAAAACATTATTCACTGATTAAAAATCAATTAAATCTAGCTAATTCAGCCGGTTGGCGCCTATAGAACTGCAAAAACAATGATGTTACTGCAGTAAACAAATAAGCATGATGGCAAATCTAGTAGCATTTCATTGATTTCATAAAACAACACAGCATCCTAATATTCAGATTCATTTCAGGCAAACGTTAGCATACAACTATACATTGCATAATCAAATTATATAACATATAATGCCTTGCAAAACAGCATTAATTCTTTTAAGGGACTTAAATTTCTCTACATTGATTTATCAACTTTTAATAATTTTTAAGACCCCTTGGACACTCTGATACCTAAGCCATACACCTTCCACACAGGTCAAAAATCTTTCAGTTTTTAGCATCAGAAATGCCTGTGAACAATTACATACCATGCAAGATAAAAGTCAAGAAAGAACAAGTCAATTGTTACTCCCCATGTGTCAAATTCATCCATCCATGCTCATCTGTGGTTGAGTAAACTTTGAGTAAACTAAATGGTTGTGCGCGAAACAGCAAAATGTGGAAAGAGAAGTATACTTGGGCCTGAAGCCAGCCAAAACACTCCTGTAAAAGTCAGATGCCTGAATGAGTTTCTCACTGTCAGTACAGTGAACAGCTCTAGACGTATTGCACAGATTAACACTCAGATCCAATTACCCTTGCTAAGCAAGCCCTGGGGCTAAATAGTGTACCACAGCTGGAATGGGCATCAACTCTCTGCCCACATCAGATCTGAAGTAGAAACACCCAAAGTGAAGAAAACTGCTGATACACTGGTCTGAAGCAGATCTACAGTGGAACCAGAGATAAATCTGTTTACTGTGGATACAAGTATCAAAAGGCTACCAGTGTTTGTTAAGATGAG